CGGCTGGAGGAGGAATTACATCACTTCCCAGCCGGAGCCCATCAAAGCTGCAGCGCCCCCCTTGCAGGGAAGCGGGTTAACAACTGGTTCTAAAACTGCTTCAAAATTTAACAACCGGTTCATGTGAACTGGCATGAACCGTCTCCAGCTCACCACTGGCTGCAGACACGTATTTCTTTCAGGTGACTAGCAAATAATACTTGTAGGAGGTGGGCTCAGAGTCTACCTAAATAGCATCTGCAGAACTGTCCTCCCAAAGTTTTCATCTGACCTGGAAGCTGCTGTTTTAGCATAATGCTTGGTAAACGTGTATGTAGGACCATGTAGCAGCCTTGCAAATAGCCAAATTTGAAATGTCATTAAGAAATGCCACTGAAGTCACTTGAACCCTTGTTGAATGAGCCTCCAGAGTTTGCAGGGTGTGGCCTGAGCTACTCAGTAACCTGTATTAATTAATGCAGGTGGTTATCCACCTGGAAATCTGCTGTACTGCTGCTGGCTGATCTTTCATCATATCTGCAAAAGAAATGAAAAGCTGATGGTCATTGAAAAAAGCTTAGTCTTTGCCAGATAAAAAGGCAAACACCATTTCACATCTAAGGTGTGAAGCCATTGTTCCTTAGGATTGGAATGTGGCTTGGGAAAGAATACAGGTAGGTAAATAACTTCAGGTTAGGTGTCAGTCTGATATTGCAGTGAGACCGGAGAGCAGGTACACAGCCCTGCTCTGTCACTAGGAGAAGTATGGTGACATTCCCCACGGTGTGTAGAAAAGGGGGTAAGAATTTCTCTGAGCTATGGAATGGCTCTGATTTGCTTTGTGCCCTCTTCCTCAGGGGACTGATCCTTTCTTCTCTGCAGAGGAGTCTACCTCAGGCAGCCTCTCAGGAGTCTGCATAAGCTTTAAAGACTGATGGGGCTGATAGTCCACGGCGGCCCCTGAAGCAGTCTGGCCTCATGGCTTGCTCCATGAGGTTCTGTTTTAAGTGCAAGTCTCAGGCCACCTGAGTCCTGTTTAAAGGAGCAATATTCTTACACACAACAAACAGCCTGGGGGTGTGTGTTCATTATTGTAGGGTGTCTGTTCCCACTGACAGTGCTTTTAAACCCTGGTGAGGGCATAGTACTATATAACAGACTAAATCTAGCTAACAACTAGAGGGTCCTAACTATTTAAAAATAACTGTTCTAAAACCATGAGAAAAATACCATACGGGAAGCTCTGACTCTAGCTGCAGGAGGTGAGAGCGCTGGGGGCAGTGGTGGAAATGATGGCACTACCATTCTTAAACAGCCATGGGTAAGGGCTATGGGCTACAGCGTATGAGTGTCGCTCCTATAGGTACTGCTAGGTAATGCTGAGGTGGGGGTGCTGAGTGTCTGCACCGTGTATGGAATACATGTCTGCAACCACAGAAGCCTGGACAAAAGCAACACTGGGTGAAACTTGTCCAGTCTTTTTCTTACCAAGAAGAACACCCAAAAAAAATTCCTCAGGAAAAAGTAAAGCTGGCCTTCACTGACTGCTTTCTAGTTCAGGAAAAAGTGGGAAGATAAGATGGATGCATCAGGAGAACTTGAAAATCAATGTGGGAGGACTGTTTTGAGAACCTATCAAATGTAGACTTCTTAAAATTTGATTTGGAAGGCTTGAAAACTGGAAAAAGTTCTATTTTTATGGGGAAAATAGGGTAGAAATCTCAGGTTGGTCTGAGAGGTTTTTTTCCTTTTTACCTTTTTTTGGTCACGGTACCCAAAGGCATCTTATTGAAGGGTTGAACTAACCATGTCAGAAATAGTAGAGAAACCACCAATCCCCTGGACTACCCTTCTCTCAGTTGTACAGATTCTGATGCTTTTGCTGCTGCTCCAGTATGTGATTTGCCCCTTTAAAAGTGGGAATGCCATTTTTAAAAAAACAGAGGCTAAAGAGCAGGGGAAGAGCAGAGCTGGATGTGAGCAATCATGCTTGAAGTCCCTTGCTCATACAGTAATCCTCTAAGCTTCAAAGCCTTGCTGAAGTGGTTTTACACTTGTGCAACATCATGGTGCACTTTCCTCCCTACGGCTAACATTTTAGTGCACATAGCCATTAACCTTGTTGGTGGAGAGGGCAGGCCAATGGTATGAACCAGAAACTTCCGCCAATGTCACTTTGATGAAAACTACTACTGGGTTCAATAAAATAGCTGGCTCACCTGATCTGACATATGAAACTCTTTTGGTACTGCCACCTGATGTACCTAGTCTACCTCTGAGTTCATTTTCCCTGCCAGCTTGGGATTTCAGTACCTTGCCGTGTTTGAGCCAGACATACTTGCCTGCTGCAAACACAGATCCAAGTCTGAACCATGTCCCCCACAAGCTGCAGGTGTAACTGAAAACAGCTTAAGAAGTGCTCCTGGCTCCAGCACTCAGATACCCAGCTCCCAATAGGGTCCAAACCCCAAATAAATCCATTTTACTCTGTATAAAGCTTATATGGGGTAAATTCAAAGTGTTCACCTTCTATAACACTGATAGAGAGATATGCACAGCTGTTTGCCCCCCCAGGTATTAATACATACTCTGGGTTAATTAATATGTAAAAAGTGATTTTATTAAATACAAAAAGTAGGATTTAAGTGGTTCCAAGTAATAAGACAGAACAAAACAAAATAAAACACACAAGTCTAACCCTAATACAGTAGGAAATTAAATGCAGGCAAATCTCACCCTCAGAGATGTTCCAATAAGCTTCTTTGATGTGGACTAGGCCACACTTAAGGGAGCACAGAAAAGAGGGTTAACTGACATAAGCATGCCTACAGTATGGGCCAGACATGCTACTAACTGAGGAACACAGTGAAAGGAGTCGGAAAGTGTCAGGTGTCTGAGGGAACAGTGATTCTGTTCCCCCTCCGCACAAAACCCTCCGGTTGCCCTGATGTATTTAGGGTTGTTGTTTTTTTTTAACAGTAGCTTCAGTGTCTGAGTTGTTGGCAGAGAGAGGAGACTAGAGTTTAGACCAGGCAGCACCAGAAATAGGATTAGCTAATGCCCTTTCTGGAACAACTGGGGCAAAACACCTGGTTGCTGTGGCAGACTGAAAGGAGTGGGGCATTCAGTCCTTTGTGTTCTTCCTGCCCCTTTGATGTACCAGCCTCTTGGAGACATTCCTGGATACCATATTTCACCCCAGGCAGAAGAAAAAAAATAGCCAAGGACCTCTGGCTTGTTGCTTCCTAAAGACCAGATCTTGCTGCTGAATTTCTACTCCCAAGTAGCTCCTGCTGGAGTCAACCCTTGTTGCAGTTTCATTTTGGGCTAAAACACCAAGTAGCCAGCAAAACAACTTTCTTGGAGACTCTGTAAAGCAAGATGCTCCTGCTGAATTTCTGCCCTAAACAGCTTAAGGCTTTCTTGCCATATAGTGGAGTGGGGGAGGTAGCATACTACTGCACACCTGGGCCGTGAGCAGGAGCCCGTTGGATCCTAACTGGTCCTCCTACACTGCTGTTTTCTCATCCCATACTGGTTTCCTGCAAACTCCTGTTCTCAAAAATTCTCTCCCTACCAGGAGGCACTAAGCAGAGAGGAACAAATAAAAAGTATAATGGAAAAGATTCTGCTCATCAACAGAGAGGAGGCCTAGAGCAGTGCTTTTCAAACTTTTTTTCTGGCAACTTAGGGCTGGTCTACACTGGGGGGGGGGGGAGATTGATCTAAGATACGCAACTTCAGCTATGAGAATAATGTAGCTGAAGTCGACGTATCTTAGATCGATTTACCTTGGGTCCTCACGGCATGATATCGACGGCCGCAGCTCCCCCATCGATTCTGCTTCCGCCTCTCGCTCTGGTGGAGTTCCGGAGTCGACGGGGAGCGCGTTTGGGGATCGATTTATCGCGTCTAAATGAGACGCAATAAATCGATCCCTGATAGATTGATTACTACCCGCCAATCTGGCAGGTAGTGAAGACGTACCCCCAGTTGAAGAAAATTGTTGATGCCCGTGACCCAGCAGAGCTGGGAATGAGGGGTTTGGGCTGTGGGAGTGGCTCAGGGCAGGGGTGGAGGGTTGGGTTGTGGGAGGCATCTGGGCTGGGGGGTGCAGGCTCTGGGGATGAGGGTTTGGGGTGCAGGAGGCAGTTAGGGCTCTGGGCTGAGGATGCAGGCTCTGGGGTGCAGGAAGGGGCTCAGGGCTGGGGATTGGGGTGCAGGCTTACCTTGGGTGGCTCCCGGTCAGCAGTGCTGCAGGGGTGCTAAGGCAGGCTTCCTACCTGTCCTGGCACTGCGGAGCACCCCAGAAGCAGCAAGTAGCAGGTCCAGCCCCTAGGCGGAGATGCACAAGCAGCTCCACATGGCTCTTGCCTGCAGGCTCCGTCCCCAGCTCCCATTGGCTGGTTTCCAGCCAATGGCGGTGCAGAGCTGGTGCTTGGGGTGGGGGTAGTGCTCAGAGCCCTGGAGCGCCCCCCCACCCAGGAGCCGGACCTGCTGCTGGCCGCTTCCAGGGCGCAGCACGACGGGACTTTTAATGGCCTGGTCGGCTGTGCTGACCAGAGTCGCCACAACCCAGTCCCCTACATTTCACAACCCAGTACTGGGTTGTGACCCACAGTTTGAAAAACACTCGCCTAGAGGAACTACTTGCTAAAGTGGAGGTGAAATAGTGGAGAGGTAGAGGTAATCAGTTCTCTGAATAGCTCCTCCTGCTAGCAGTACATTGTAAAGCAACAGGTATTTTTAAAACCTTGCTTGGAGGATGAGAATAACCCAGCTGTAGTGGATGAGGGAGCACCAATTGTCCACAAGCCAAAGGAGTACAGTGTCACTCCCTGCACAACGGAAGTCAGGATCTTTGGTTACAAGACCCAAATATAAGAGCTTCCAGCTGGACCAATACTACTTATGTGTAGCTTAATATATGATGTTTGAAATAATGTGTTTAAAAATAATACAAGAAGGATTTTAATATAGCTGTGTGTATTATTTTTTAATTCAAGTTTTCTGTTTTTCAGGGACTTCATGTGTGGACTGTGCAAAGAGAAAGTTAGGAGAAAATGACTTGGATCTTTCTAAGAGAGTCAAACAATCAGATAATGGTATTCTCATCTCCTAATAAATAATCTTAAAATTCCAAGATGCTTAAAAATAATCTCTGAAAAATTTTCAGAGCTAATTATTTCCAGGATTTAAGTGGATTAAAAAGTTCAAAATCTCTCAATACATTTTTAGGGGGTGCAGGGCAGTTTAAATACTAACTGGATTAGGTAATTGGCAGATGGCTGCTACTTCTCGTACAGTCAATTTATTACAAATCTATGAGTGACTTACATTTTTTTTTTGTTCTCATCAGTTGATACCTCTGCTGGTGACCTGGGCATTGTAAAGAAGTTTGAAACCCAAGTGCAGGGCAACTGCGCAGGACCACCGGAGGGGGAAGCAGAGAACTGGGCTCTCAGTACTCCAGAGTTTCAGTGACTTTCTCTACCTGGCATTGACTGTAACAACCCTGCTTCCTGGCAAGAACAACAACTTGGAATGGCATTGAGTTTACCTTCATATACCATAGTAGCCTGCTGCTCTTAGCAATTTTTTCACTCCCAGAGTGAACTATTCTCACTATCACTAGTCCCAGTCAAGAGCAGGGAGTAACTGGGGGTAGCAAGTGAGCTAAAAGCTTTTAGAAACTAATAAAATAAATAATAAATAAAACTAACGTTCTGACTGTACCCTAAGGTTAAAGTAAAAGTTTTAAAAATAGACAAGGATTCATTTCCACATCACCACAAAAAGGCAGTGTTAAATATACCTAAACTAAAAGTTAGAGAAGGCTGGGGTTCAAACACTTGAAAGTGAAACTGGCACAGACTATAAAGAGACATTTTAAGTAGAAAGTAAGGTTGAAATTAATTTATTTTTAAGAACTGCAAACAAGGGTAGCACATTGTGTGTGTCATCATTCGGACAACTTGCTTGCATATTTTATTTCTTCCCCACCCACCCCCTTTTTCATCTATTTTCTTATTCCTGGTTCTTCTTCCAAGCTGCTCTATGTGGGCATGCCCCTGCCCCTTTGACTGAGTCAATTAAGCTCCATATGCCCAGAGGGCTGTCAGCACAAAGCTGCTTACAGGATCTGAACCTTAAACTGTAAGCTCCTTGGAGCATGCACCATCTTCATGTTTTATAAAGCACAAATATCTGACCTATACAATTGTACTATGAATATTTCATTTTTCACTTGTCATCTGGTATTTTAGTATCACTTCACATTGGGGGAAATGAGAATATAAATGAAAGTTGCCAGCAGCATACAGGCTGTTCTTTATTGACTGGGATTCACTTCACTACTTACTATGCATTGGAATGAAAATATTTCAGTTTGTTTGAAGGACAGGACATGTTTTTGGTATTTCAAGTAGAGATTAGGGGATGTTTTCATTGCTGCATAGTTAAAGCAGGCCACTATCTAATTATGTGCAGTAGAGAACTGCTACAAACCCCAGCTCATCAGGGTTTTCACCACTTTGACTGCAGTCAATGTGACTACTCCATATGCTTAAAGTAAAACATGCTTAAGACCCTTGCTGAATCCTGTCCTTAGACTACCAAATTTAAATTCTATTATGAGAGCTTGGATTTCACATTTTTATGAGGGGGTGTCCTGTAAAACTTGTTAGTTTCCCCCAAAATTGTGTTGCCCTGGAGCAAACACATTTCTTTAAATGAAATTCTAAAGTATTACAAAAATTAATATTTCTTTAATCAGCATCAATCAGATACTGATGGCTGATTAAGTGGCTGGATTAGGCTGTCATTTTTGCACCCATTTTCCTGAGGCTGCTGCGAGCCCACTATAGTTTTGAGGTTGTTTTAACACAGCAGTCAGAGGTTAAAATTACTACAATACACTTTTATTGAACTCTATTCTATGGTACTTTTATGGCTCCTATCATCATAGTATCTGAGCATCTCATCCATTCAGTTGGTTCCTCAGACATAACCTATTTAACTTGTCTTTTAGTTTTCCCAGGAGCAACACTACATAACTGCCTTCCCACTGCACATGCACACACACATTTAAACTTAGGATTGATTTGAAGTGTTTTTAAATCACAAGTAAATTTAATTTTGCTTTTTTTAAACAGGTAGCACTGGAGACTCTTCAAGTCTAAACACCACTGAAAACTGCAACTTGTAAAACAGCCATTCTTGCCTTAGTGCTATACAATTGCACTGTGAAAAATGCACATCGCAGTAGTGATGGGATCTCTTACAATTCAGTGTATGCACATTAAAAGCAGAGTTGCTGTGTGGCCCATTATGGAAGCTACTGGCAGTAGAATATGCATGTTTCAGTTATCTTATAAGGAGGACTGACTTGCAACTGGCTCAGGGAAACATATAGCTGAAAGGGATATACCTAGAACATGACTGTTCAGTGTGATGCATTCAGTTAATCAAAAAGTAACTTGCTTTGAAATCCTGTTTTGAATACGACTATGAGTCTGGATTCCCAAGTGGAGGAAATAGGCCATAAACCTAGACATTCATTAAATGATGCAGCTGGCTCTACTAATGCTACTGTAGAAATTAATTTACTTTTTTTGGTATTCTTTTATAATTTTTTTTAAATGGAAACTGGTGTATTTACTGAGGATTTTAGAGACAAGGTGGAAGGTAATACAATCTGGCCATAAAGTGTTATGATTAATATACCTTGTCTGCCATCTGTGCTGGCTGGCTGTTTGCTAAAAGGCAGGGGGAAAAACCCACCAAGGAACAGTTTTGACTGGGGGAGAGGGGAAGCTGTACACCTCTTTGTGGCTTGGCAATGACGCGCAAACATGGTCATGTAATATGGAGCTAGCCTCTTTCATCAGTTTCTGAGCCTTACAGAACATGGCACCAGGAAGCTCTGGATTCAATTTCAGGAGAAATGTAAGATTGGTCTTTTACAAGTGTTGGAAACAGAATATAACGTCTCCTTCCCTATAGTAGCTCTTTGAATATATACAATTTAAAAAAAATTAAGCTCCTAGAACTTGTATCTTTATATTTAACCTAACCACATCTGAAACCTTGTAGTGAGAATCTTCCTGATAAAAAGTAAAAAATGCTATACATTTCAAGATTTTTTCCAACATTTTAATTCTCAATAGTTTAACACTGAAAAGTTACATTTAACAGATGAGGTTTGCATTTTTTGACAGCAGTCATATGAATTTAACATAGCATCCATATTCAAAAAGTCACTCATCATTCATCAGTTTTTATATTAATGGGACTTCATAGTTTATCTTAATGCTAACCAACAAGAACATACTTAAAGAGATTAGGCACTAGTCACTAGAATTTAGCAATTTCAGTAATGTCTTTCAAAAGCGTATTTTGAATTTGTAACGCAACAGGAACATGTACCCCATAAAACCCTAAACAAAACTAGGCCAAATAATACAATCATTTATTCGTCTCCAAATTCTAAGAAATGGTTTTGTGGGTTACGAAGCTATATTCTTTGACTTCTGTATAAGAATATTTAAAAGCAATATTCAAAAAGCTTACAAACTTGTCATAAAGGTGGCTGTAGAAATCACAATTTTGTTATTCACAGATGGCCCTGAAACTTTCATGTTTTATTCCAGTGTGGAACTGTATCTGTGCTTCTCTTTTCGTTCACTGTCATCAACGTCTGGATACACAGTAAGATCCAGAGTCAGTACCTGACTAAACATGTAATCATCTTGCTGAAAGGAGGAAGAATCAAATCAGTTTACAAGCATATATATATTAAAAATAAGCATTACCTATAAGATGATGCAGTTACCAGAAGGACCACTTAACTATACATAGCTTGTTCTGGAACGCTATTAAACACTTACCAATGACTGTTCCTGAATGACAAACAATGCATTTGAACCACCCAGCTCTTGATATACTTGTTAGAGAATTTTTTTTTAAATGAGCATTAAGGGGGAGTCATTTCTTAAGAAATAATTGGCTGTAGCTGGAATTTTTTTTAATAGTAGTTTAATTGCTGTATGAAGTTAATTTGATTTAAATTAAGACAGAAAAATAACTAAGATTATTTGTACCTCTGGACAGACTCCAATTAATGCATCTGCTCTGGAATAAAACTCCTCCTTTAGAGAAATAACTATCATCTGACACTGTTCCTGTGCCTGCTCTTTGATGAAGCTTGATACCTTTGGAGAAAAGCCACACATTTTAGGATAAGTGGGTTCTGTCAGATTTAAATCACAATTGATTAGGGAACAATGCTGAATTGCTCAGCAGATAGAATTCATTTATGAAATGGGCAGGGTAAAAGAGGGAATATAACTGGCCAAGAAAGACACTGTACATGATGTAGGTTCACAGTATGACCACACAGGTTTGGCCCTTTTAAAAATGTATATGAAAACAATCCACTTTAGAAATGTGACATTTCTAAAGTTAACGTAGCGCATTTTACTTGACAATGTTTTTAAGTTAGGTGGATTTCCATGTATAAGCCATAAATTTTACAGCTTGTTACCATTTACATAATGTGATACAGATTACAAATGCATATTACTGCAGTTTTATGTGGCAGAAAATGTTTTTCACTAGCTGTAAAATGTTACTGCATAGAGCTAAATTTATAATTTGAGGTGAATAAAGAAGACATCATACCACAACAGAAAATAAAATTCTAAATGAAAATTAGAAGCAACATTTTTTAATCACACTTCTATGTGTACATTTTTATCCGCTATGTCATAAGTAGGCATAGTCGTTGAAATTATTTTGAACTGAAGATTTTAAAACCTGACTAGTTTTCAAGATGACTGACCATAATCCATTCTGAAACTAACTTTATAAGGAGTTAGTATTATACACACTTAATGTTCCGGAAAGTTTCTTTTCAATTTTCAGTTTAAAGCCTTCTAGCCTTATTACAGCAGAAGATCTCCAACAAGTTGCTACTAACCAGACCTTTCCCAAACTCTTTTGATCCCAATAAGTACTGTACATATACTAACCTGTTCATATGCAAAAAGTACATGCAGTATTTATTAAGCATATTTTTTCTATTTCCAAACAACATTATTTTCTGTAACTTAAACTCAAAACACTGGTAAATATATAAAGGTCCCTTCATTTGAAGGTGTCTCAGGTCTCTCTCATGGCAGGTAAGATCACCGTTTATGGTTGAGGAAACTGAAGCAATGAGAAGAGTTGGAGTAGGCCTCAATATTGATACAAAATAGTTATTAATAAATTATTTTACATAATTACAAACTTGACTTTGCTCTTACTGAATTTTGCGACAATTATTTTCATACACTTGCTTAGAGAATGATAGCTCACATGCTTAGGTTTTGGTGGGATTTTTGGTTGCTTATTGTATGAAATTATTACACTATTATTAGGGCCCTACCAAATTCACTGTCCACTTTGGGCAATTTCATGGTCATAGGATTTTAAAAATCGCAAATTTCATGATTTAAACTACTTAAATCTGAAATTTCACGGTGTAATTATAGGGGTCCTGACCCAAAAAAGGAGTTGTGAGAGGGTTGCAAGGTTATTGTAGGGTGGGGTTGCAGTACTGCTACCCTTACTTCTGTGCTACTGCTAGTGGCAGCACTGCCTTCAAAACTAGGCATCTTGAAAGCACTGGCTGCTGGCCAGGATCCCAGCTCTGAAGGCAAAACCGCTGCCAGCAGCAGTGCAGAAGTAAGTATGGCATGGTATGGTATTGCCACCCTTTCTTCTGCACTGCTGCTGGTGGGGCGCTGACTTCAGAGCTAGGTGCCTGGCCAACAGCCACTGCTCTCCAGCTGCCCAGCTCTGAAGACAGCGCAGACTTAAGGGTGGCAATACTGCGACCCCCCACGCGACTTCCTTTTGGGTCAGGACCCCCAATTTGAGAAATGCCGGTCTGCCTCATGAAATCTGTATAGCACAGGGTAAAAGCACATAAAAGACCACATTTCACTTGGGGAGGGACCAGATTGCACGGCCCATGACGCGTTTTTCATGGCCGTGAATTTTGTAGGGCCCTACAAGGTGAGTAACCCCTTTCTTTGAGTGGTTGTCCCTAAGTGTAATGCACTTCAGCTGATTCACAAGCAGTGTCACTCTAAAAAAAGGTGTATGCCTGGAGTCCTATGAGACAGACTGCAGAACTGCTCTGCCTAGAGAAGCTGCAGCAGCAGCTGCTTGCACTAGTCGCAGTGGCTTTCAAACTGTGGGTCAGGACCCCAAGTGGGTTGCGACCCCATTTTAATGGGGTCACAAGGGCTGGCTTAGATTTGCTGGCGCCAGAAGCCAAAGCTCAAGCCCCACTGTCTAGGGCCGAAGCCTGAGGGCTTCAGCCTTGGGCAGTGGGGCTGAGGTTACAGGCCCCCTGCCTGGGGCTGAAGCCCTTGTGTTTCGGCTTTGCCTCCAACCCCGGGGCAGTGGGGCTTTGGCCCCCCTACCTGGGGTGGCAGGGATCGGGGTAGTAATTTTTGTTGTCAGAAGAGGGTCGCGGTGCAATGTAGTTTGAGAACCCCTGCACTAGTGCATAATTTCTAGCAAAGATAAGACCCAAACTCCAATTTGCTGCTCTGCAGCTGTCAGTAATAGGTACATCTCAAAGGAAAGCTACCAATGCTGCTTAAGCTCTAGTTGAGTATGCTCTCACACTGCACTTAAGGGAGACATTCATCTTGTAGTCAAATAGAATACACCCTCAATTCCACTTCAACAGTATCTGGGAGCAAATGGCCTCTCAGATGTTCCATGAATAATACAAAAAGACTAGGAGACTTCTGAAAAGATCTCTTCCTCTGCAGGTAAAAGGCAAGAGCCCCATGCACGTCCAGCAAGTGTCATGCTGCCTCTTCCGTGTTAGAATGAGGTTTTAAGGTAAAATGCAGTATTGGTCCCAGGATATTAGAGAGACAAGGTGGGTGAGGTAATATCTTTTACTGGACCAACTTCTGTTGGTGAAAGAGACAAGCTTGTGAGCTACACCGAGCTCCTCTTCACGTCTGAGAGAAGAGCTCAGTGTAGCTCGAAAGCTTATCTCTCTCACCAACAGAAGTTGGTCCAATAAAAGACATTACCTCACCCACCTTTTGTTTAAGGTAAAACACAGGTAGATAGAGACATAGTTGATGTGAAAGTCCGACACCTCCTGAGGGTGGAACTTCGGATGTAGTCTCATGGATACCTAGTCCTTGTGGAAAACTCAATAGAAAGGGTCAGCCACGAGCACCTCTAGCTCCCTGACTCGTCTGTTACCGTCTTAGAGATGTAACAGAGAGCAGGATGCCAGGGGCACAAACGGTTATTTAGTAAGAGTTGATCCAACAAGATTCAAGTTGCAGACTGGTATACATTTTGTCACTGGAGAGAAGACTCAAAGAATCGCACCCTTATAAGAAGTGGATGGTGACTGAATGGGAAAGTACAGAGCAGGTGTCTACCAGCAGATGAAATGTGCTGATATCCACCAGGTGTATGCCATACTTTGTCGGTTGGGGACATAGACCAATGCCAGCCACGCCACTAGCGGCCTGAGGTGAAGTCGCGCGTGCCAAACCACATAAGTACATCCTGCCATGTGACCCAGCAGTCTCGGGCAGGTGTGGGTGGTGGTGAACAGGTGGGCATGCAGAAATTAGATGAGGTCTACCATGGCTCAGACCAGAGTCTCGGAGGAAGGCTCTGGTCCAAGTAGAGTTGAGTACCACCACAATGAACTGTGTGTTGCACTGAAGTGAGGGTTAACTTCTTGTCATTTATTATTAGGCCCAGCCTGTGGCAGGTGGAACAGACCAGAGCGAGATACCTCCGCACATGATCCGAGGACTGGCCCCTTAGCAAGCAATCGTCGAGGTACAGGTAGATTTGGACCCCCAGACGTCACAGATAAGCGGTCACTGGAGCTATACACTTGGTGAACACTCTCTGAGCTGATGAGAGACCAAAGGGCATCGCTGTGAACTGGAAATGGCGCTGGCCCAATGTGAAACAGAGGAAACACTGGTGCCCCAGGAATATGGAAGTACGCGTCTTTTAAATCGAGGGCGATGTACCAGTCCCCTGGATTCAGGCACGGGATGATGAAGGCCAGGAAGACCATATGAAATTTCAACTTTTTGAGAGACTTGTTGAGGCGCCGCAGATCTAGAATAGGTCTGAGGCACCTCTTTGCCTTTGGAATAAGGAAGTTGCAGGAGTAAAATCCTCTTCCTTCCATGCCCCTAGGTGCAGGAGGTTTTTGATCTCCTGAATGAGGAGTTGCTCATGAGACGGGTCCATGAAGAGGGACAGGGAAGGGGGATGGAAGGGTTGGTTGGCTACAAACTACAGGGTATAGCCCGATGAGACAGTGTCGAGCACCCAGCGGTCCAAGGTGATATGGGACCAGGCTGACCGAAAAGGGTGGAGGTGGACGGGGAACAGATCCAGTACAGTGACTGGGGCATCGTCCTCGGGTGCATCCTCAAAATGACTGCTTTTGGCTGCCTTGGTCCCTGGAAGGACTAGGCTGGGCAGGTTGACAAGATGACGACTGATGGAAGCACTTAAAACCCATCTTTCCCCTTCTTTTTGTAGAAGCCAGATCGAGGGGAACCCCAAGACCTCAATAACTGCAGAGATGGCGGGGGGCAAAATGGCTTTTTGGCCTGCTGAGAAGTATGTAGAACCAAGGAGCAGAGGGTGGCCCGGGAGTCTTTAAGACTGTGGAGCCTAGCATCAGTTAACTCCGAGAAGAGCCCTGTTCCCTCCAAAGGGAGGTCCTGCAGGGTGGATTGGATCTCCTGGGACAATCTGGAGGTCTGTAACCAGGAGCTATGCCTCATGGCTATTGCAGAGATGACCACCCTGGACACCGAGTCCATAGCATCCCAGGCCATCTGGAGGACACCCCTGGCTACCGCCTTGCCTTCGTCTATTAGAGTGGTGAACTTCTCCGCCCAGTCCTGTGGGAGGCTCTCTTTGAACTTGTCAATGTAGTTGCACAGGTTGAAACTGTATCTGCCAAGTAGGGCTTGATGGTAGAGACCCTAAACTGGAGGCTTGCTGAACAGATCATGATGTCAACAATTCACAGATTAATCTCATGTCATACACTTCCATTAAGATCTTCAAGTAATTTGTACAACATTAAAATTACAGTTGTGGTTATATATTCAGCATAATATTATATTTCATCACTACACATCTCAGACCCCTATCATACTCTGGCTCAACAGGTAGAGTTAAGGGTAGATTTAAAAGAAAAAATCTATCTGGAATGTAGATGAGGTAGATCAACTGTGATGAGGTGTCCACACCACGGAAGAGTGAAAGGGGTTAAGTCGGCTAGATAGGTTAATTAACTCCACAAGGGTGCACCTGGAAAGCAGGCTCAGCTGGGCAGGAAGAGGCAGGGTTTGTATAAAGCAAGTAGCTGGTAATGGAGGGGCTGCTAGAAAGGACTACAGACAGGCTCTATTCACTCCTTGGGTGGAAGGAGTTGGCAGGCTGGCAAACCCAGAGGGGGGGAAGCCAGACACGTGGGATGTGGCCCAGGGAATAGCAACAGGGCTAAAGGAAGCAGCATGGGGCTGCTATTTGTAGCCTCCCTGGGTCAGGACCTGGAGTAGTGAGCGGGCCTGAGTCCCCCCTAACAGCCACTGGGGAAGTGGCAGTGCCCTAAGAGAAGGGAGTTTAAACAGGCCCAAGTAAGGGGCTATATTGGAAATTATATTACCCCAGAAGGGGGCTGAACTGAGACTGACCCAGCTGGAAAGCTGGGGTCAGGACTAAAGGGACAGATGCCAGAGCAAGCCCAAGGAGGGCTGCAGAGAGAGAGAGACCAACCAGGGTACTGGGATAGGCCCTGTTGGACTGTTTAAGGACTGTGAGAACTGAGCCTAAAGACAGGGCTGCAAATAGGCCCTGTTGGACCTTTTACCCAGAAGGGGACTCACTGAGTGACCTAGCCAGAGGGCTGAGTCACAAAGGAGACATGGAGAGTTTTGGAGGAAGAAGAGTTGCAGACCAGAGACAGAGCGACGTCATACAAACCATGGATGGGGGTGTCAGCCTCCAGCTAATCCTGAGAACAACAAGGAGGAGGCGCCAGACCATGACAACAACCTTAACTTTAACATACCTGTGTGCAAGTGTGGATCAATGGGCACTGCTTACTAAAAATTTCCAGACAGTCCCACCAGTTCACATGTGTACCTATGTATGGAATACGCACCGGAACCATCACTCAAAAAATTCTTAAATTTGTCCCTCATGCAGTCTGTTTTGATTTATGCCAATAGAGAATAACTGAACTTCTCTCTTTGTCCCAGCCTCCCTAAATTAAACAACCATCCTTCTGCAAAAGGATACCACTATGTCATTAGATTATCTGTAAATTAATTTCAGGTAACAGAAGGAATAACTTACTTTGCCAATGTTTGTGTTATCCAGTGCAGCATCCACTTCATCCAAAATAAAGAAAGGGGCAGGGCGGAAACTTAAAAATAAGAGAGTCAATTACTTTTATATAAATATACTAATATTTTGGGGGTTTAGCTTGTCCCATAAAATTTTGACCAAGAAATAGTAATGTCAAGAACAGAATAGGAATGTAAAATACATTTTTGGACATAACAAATGTTCAAAATGCCTTCTGAAAATACTATGCTACATTTGTTTCCATACCACTGAGGCTCAAAGATTAGTAAAAAGATGGTACTGTAAAATTTATTTCACCATATTACCTGTGTATTGCAAACACAAGAGCCAGTGCTGCCACAGATTTTTCACCTCCTGACAAGTTGTCCATTGGCATAAAGCGTTTTCCAGGAGCCACACAGTTATAGCTAATGCCTTCTAGATATGGTTCCTCAGGATTCTCGGGACTGAGAAATGCCTGAAATACACATGCCCTAATATTTAGTTAATACTGAAACATATGAAATGTTTAGCTTAGGGTTGCTATTGTTTGTATTTTAAAGTTTAAATATGACATTTTGGCTCATTTGTAGTGAATAACTGTGTATTTGTATTTAAGAGAGACATTGCTAAAATGTGGTTCTAGAAAAATCTATCTTGTGAAACCTTTGGGATATGACAGACATCATAATCAAAGAACCACCATTTAAGGCAGACTGACATCTTAGTCATATTTTCAACACTGTTCCTTATCTTTGTTACCAATATCACTTCAGATTATTAAAGACACTCATTTTAAAAAAAAAAATCTCAATTTACTTTTCACTATCTGTTTAGTTTATTTCATTTTACTTGGACAATAAAATAAATGAAGTAATTTTCATATTTATAGGCTGTTACAAAACGAATAGCACCCGTGCAAAGTGTTAAAAAACAGTTACCTGTCTTTTGTAACTCTTGTTCGAGATGTGTTGCTCATGTCCTTCCATTCTAGGAGTGTGCGCGCCCACGTGCACATTTTTGGGAGATTTCTGCCTTAGTGGTACCCGTAGGGTTGGCAGTGGTGCCCTCTGGAATGCTGTGCTCATGCATCGGTATATTAGGCACCGCCGGCCCGATGCCGTCTCAGTTCCTTCTTGACGACAACTGCGACAGAGGAGTAGGAGGGCGGGTAATGGAATGGACATGAGCAACACATCTTGAAGAACAACAGTTACAAAAGGTAGGTAACCATTTTTTCTTCTTCGAGTGCTTGCTCATGTGAATCACCTAGAATGGAATTGACAAGCTGTATCCACTGAGGTGGGCTCGGAGTTCATAGTCATGTGGCTTGCAATACTGCTTTACTGAAGCCAGCATTGTCTTGGGCCTGCTAGGTAAGTGCGTAATGAGATGTAAATGTGTGGATGCACGACCAGGTAGCGGCCCTGCCGATACCTTGAATAGGCACTTGGGCCAGGAAGGCCGCTGCCCAGGCTTGTGCCCTAGTCAAGTGGGCAGTTACAATCGCCAGTGGAGGCACTTTCACCAGATCATAACAAAAACAGATGCAGGCGGTGATCCATGATGAAATTCTCTAGGCAGACACTGGAAGACCTTTCGTCCTGTCTGCTGCTGCAATGAACAACTGCGTCGACTTACAGAACGGCTTAGTCCTTTCAATGTAAAAGGCTATTGCTCTCCTGACATCCAGAGAGTGCAATTTGCACTCCTCTTCTGACTTATGAGGTTTTGGAAAGAAGACAGGTAAGTATATGTCCTGGCTTGTATGAAACTGCGAAACTACCGTGGGCAAGAAAGCTGGGTGCGGTCGCAGCTGGACCTCGTCCTTGTAGAATACCATACAGAGTGGCTCCAAAGTAAGCACCCTAATCTCAGAGACCCTGTGGGCAGACGTTATTGACACCAAGAAAGAAGCCTTCCAGGAAAGCAGAAGAAAGGAGCAGGAAGCCAAAAGCTCAAAGGGGGGACCCATGAGTCGTGACAGCATGAGATTCAGGTCCTAAGGAGGGACAGGGTCATGGATGTGGGGATAGAGTCGCTCCAGGCCCTTCAAAAAAGGACCATCATGTCATGAGTGAAGACCGACCTGCCCTGGAACAGAGGATGGAAGGCTGAAATAGTGGCCAAGTGGACCTTAATCGATGAAAGAAACAGGCACTAGAGCTTGAGATGCAGAAGGTAGTCCAACCCTGACTGCAGCAAGGCCTGCTCGGGGTGGATACCCTGGTCCAAACCCCAGAACCTTTTCCACTTGGCCAGGTAGGTCACCCTGGCCAAGGGCTTTCTGCTACCCAACAGTACCTGCTGGATAATGGACTGAGTACTCCTGTTCTGCATTCAGCCACATAGCAGCCAGGCTGTCAGATGCAGCGCTGCCAAGTTCGGGTGCAGAAGATTGCTGTGGTTCTGGGACAGCAGAACTGACCAGAGAGGCAGCTGCAGCGGGGTGGCCACTGAAAGGTCCAACAGCGTGCCGAACCAGTGCAGGCGAGACCAAGCCAGGGCGATCAGGATTACCTTCACCTTGTGCTGTCTGATCTTCATGAGGACTCTGTGGATTAAGGGCACTGGTGGGAAGGCATATATCAGAGCCCCCTGACCACTGGAGCAAAAAGGCATCTGACAGGGAGCCTATGTCAATCCCCTGAGTTGAGCAGAACACCTGGCACTTCCTGCTCTGTCAGGACGCAAACAAGTCCACCGGGGGGGCGGGTGGCACCTTTGGAAGATCACTCCATCCAGAGGTGGTCAGTGTGATCACTTGTGGTGAGAAGAGAAGGACCTGCTGAGGTGATCCACTAACACGTTTCTGGCCCTGGGAAGGTGCGCAGCCATAACATGAATGGCATACTGCACACAGAAGTCCCAGAAATGGAGAGCTTGTTGGCAGAGGGCTGACGATTGGGCTCTGCCTTGCTTGTTGATGTAAAACATCGAGGCGGTGTTGTCTGTCAGGATTTGTACCACCTTGTCCTTCAAGCAGGGTAGGAAAGAATTGCAGTGTGTAGCCCAGAGATACAATGCCAAGCACCCAGCGGTCTAAGGTGACTCGCGACCAGGCCGACTGGAAGGGATGTAGGCGGTTGTGCTCCTTTTGAGTTCTAGGACAAAAATTCTTTCAAATACGACACTTGTCCTTCACACGCGACTCCCTCAAGCACCGTAGGCAGCTGCTATGGGGGTCACTAATGGGCATAGGTCTGTTGCAGGCAGAACAAGGCTTAAAACCTGGAGACCAGTGCATGCCCCGCCTGGGGCTAAGATCCTGCTGGGACTCTAAGGGCTAGTCTACACTTACCGGTTAGTTCGACGGCTGCGGATCGAAGTTCCGAGTTCGATTTATCGCGTCTGGTCTGGACGCGATAAATCGAACCAGGAAGTGATCCCCGTCGACTGTGGTACTCCAGCTCAGCGAGAGGAGTACCGCGAAGTCGACGGGGAGCCTGCCTGCCGCGTGTGGACCGCGTCTGAACCGCGGTAAGGTCGAAGTAAGGTATGTCGAATTCAGCTACGTTATTCACGTAGCTGAATTTGCGTACCTTACTTCGATTTGGGGGGTAAGTGTAGACCAGCCCTAATTTACTAACTAACACTACTTAACACCTACTTACTGACTAACTACTGTAAACAAACTATGTACAAGGCAAACAAGGATGAGAGATAAAGAGAAAAAATGCTATCCACTTGCAAGTCAAGGGGAAGGCACTCCAACCAACCAGCACGGGTGGTAAGAAGGAACTGAGAGGGTGAAGAAGTTTTTATACTGAAACCATGAAATCTCTGTCTCTCGCTGCTCCATTCTTCTATTGAACATAAATGTTAGGCTTCTGTCTAAAATTTTTCTCTTGCCTGAACTCTCTTCTTCTCCTCAGGGGATCAGACTGTCTTATCTTCAGCTGCTCCTCACTGCTCAACACCAGATACTTGCCTCACATCCTCGTTTTAGGCATTTTAGAGGTCCCCAAGCTTAGCTGACTTCCTTGGAGATGGAAAAGGCTTTTGAAAGAACTGAATACAGATATTTTCCAGAGGTTCTTCACAAATTTTACTTTAGCAGTAACTTCCTCAAACTGGGAGAATTCATGGTTGCTTACCTGAAAACTTTCCCTTCTTTGAAGGGAAAGATCCAAAGATTGACAATGGGTCATTGCCTGTCTGTACCTGCAGGGGGCAGAAACAAAGCTAGGTGGATAGCTGATGAGGGACTAGTCCCCACCTTCAGGAGACCACCTCAGTTTCAAGATGCTTCCACCACTAACTCCTGTGGACTATGAAACTAAAAAACCCCAAATCTCTCATCTTGTGAAAAATATTCAACAAGAGAACATTACGAACAACAAGAACATTTTAACTACTGCAGAGAACTTTAAGCATGAGTTAAACAGATCTGCCTTTTTCAGGGAGGGCCAGTTCTGTTTGAAGAAGAGGAAATTTTCAGGTAAGCTGCCACAAATTTTCCCATTCTCTCTCAGGGCTAGGTCCACAGATCCTCAGTGTGGGATATTCTCAGCAATGACAAAATTCCTAGGGAGAGAACAAAATAATATCACAGAGAAAGGAATCACCACAGAATGCAGGACCCACCTGTCAAAGGCTGCATCGTCTGAAGATGAATATCTATCTTGTAAAATTTAATCAATGTTTACACAGATGACCAAGTTGCAGCTTTACAGATTTCAATGCCCCTTCACTGCCCGTGTACTGAATGAGCTCTGGTGCCCACTGTTGGATTGGTGCCCTTGATATGCAAGGCCCTGATAGACTGTAGATGAGCCTCTGCTCACTGCAGCAATGATACTGTTCCTTTTGTAGATCCCTTAACCTGAGTCCTCTCCCCTTCCACTCAATGGTTTATGTATGCCATCGCTGACATTGTCCGCCATTACCAGAAGACCACCATTCAGTAATACTGAGGCCAGTTGTTGAACAGCATATTTTATTGCCCTCATCTCTAGAAAAATGTATGCTTTTCTTTAGTTCCAAGAAGAACCATGTCCCTACAGCCATCGACTTCTCAGAGAATGCTTCCCATCCTTCCAGACTGGCATCTATTGTTATGACAGATCTCTCTGGCTCTGCCATGGCCATCCTTCCTGAAATCAATCTGGGCTCATCCACCAATCCCGGGATTTCAATACGAGTGATGGAATGCTCACTTTCAGAGATGGAAAAGTCAGAAAACAGCAGGGAAGGGACAGCAGGAAACTCTGGAGCGTCCTCACATTCATTCTTGCTCCTAGCACTATTCTTAGAAAACTCATTATGACATGATCATCCCTAGAACACTCATTAGGGTGCCTAGGACGCCCTCAAAAGGGTAACTGCTGATCTTATCTTGCTCTGTATTTTGGCTGACAAAGATTTTATGGGCCTCTGAGTCTATCAACACTCCAAGATGAACAAGGCACTGAGATGGCTGAAGATGACTCTTTCCAAAATTTACTATAATCCATGCTGTTGCAACGTTTGGATTGT